GGGAGTGGGCGGGAGTGGGCGGGGCTGTCGCTGTCGCCGCCGCTGTCGTCGCCTTCACCGTCGCCGTGGCAGCGGCCGCGGTAGCCGCTTGCGGGGAGGGCTGAGGCCTGATCGCTGCTCTGAATGAGGGCTGGAAACTGGGCCTTGTAGGGTGTGAGGGGAAAAGAAAAAATAAACAACAACAAAAAAGGAAAACAAAAGGGTAGTGCTTTGCCTTGGAGCTGTTGGTTGTGCTGGTGACCCTGGGCCAGAGTCAGGCAGCTTGCTTGAAGGCATTCCGGAGGAGCTATGAATTATATAATATTTACAGATATTAGGATTATATGTTTTCCTCTTTGGCAGGATGGTAATACTTCTGTCTCTTCCATTCTACTGTAGATATATCGCAGTGATGCATCTGTCTTCCTGTCTTTATAAATACATCAGGGAAGAAACTGTTTTAAGTGGCAGGATGGCGACAGCACAACAAACAATATTAGCATGATTTGCTATAATAAATAAGTTTAGGCTGAGAAATGGCAAAAGGAGCCAATTAATGTGGCAGAAAAGTTATGAAAATGTCTTCCAGTAGCACAGATGAGGAATAAAAATATAATTTATCATAATTCTTTTAATGAGTTTGATTTCATTATGGAAGGAATGACATGTTCTGACCACTGAGTTAACTGATGAACGAACTGTGTATCTCAGGAAGTTGGAAGTCTGATTTTCATTGAAAATAGATCATATATTGATTAATGGCTGTTAGTGGCTACCAGTGAGGAGTTTGGGTAAAACTTTGTCAAGAGGGTTGATGTAGGAGGATTACAGTTGTTCTTTGGTCTCACGTTATCCCTTCATCTTTTTTTAAATATTGCTGTGTAATTATTCTAAAGACTCAGGAGTCCTTCCAAGCTCAGACTGCTACTGATGGTTCAGCTGGGTTAGAAGTCTAAGAAAATCCTACAAGTTATTGTGCTACTGACTGCACTGCAAATATTGTGCAAATCTTCATGAATTATTTGAAATATTTGCTACTTTAATAAGTGAGATAGGAGTGTTGACTTCTGCTGCTTTGTGATTTGTGGCTCACTTAATCATACATGTTCTGTACTTTGATAATACTTAAGAGTTTGTGAGCAAGATTACACCTTGTTTTGGTGGTATCCATGAGCTTGGTTGGAGTGTCTGTGATGTTGAAGGAATTTTTGGCAGTGATGCAGGGACAATAAGGATTTTGGCTTCTAGTAGAAGCATGAAAAAAGACAATTTGGCTATGAGTATTTAACAATACAGTAGCTTGCAAAGGCTTATTTGCCTTTAACAGGAAGAAAAACTGAGGTTGCAGTTTCATAAAAGGTCCATCTTGCTCTTCCTTCCACCTTCAGCCCCACCCTTCTGCCTCCACATCAACACAGCTGCTGTGGAGCTGTGTGGTGAGACAGGGCAGGTACCTGATCCGGCTTTCTCTGCAGCATACCGGTACTTATGTGATCCTGGATGTCCCAAAGCAGATTCACTGAAGCTGTTGAGGAGCTGTTGCCTAGGGGTTGGAGAGGTTCTGGGGCTTTGTATTCTAGAAGGAATACACATACCTGGGGCACGTACAACAGTTTTGGTGCTAGTGCTCGGTGTGCTTTGTAGTTTGTCACTTTTGTTTAATCAGAGTACCTCCTGACCCTCTGCTGCCTCTGTATTTTATCTGCTGTTGATATGTTACAAAGGTTGATGATCAAGTAACTCAGTAGTCAAAGTATAATTTCTGTACTGATGATCCTTTTCATGTTCCGTAATAAATACTGTTAATGTTTATTAATCAAAAATGCATCACTCTATTCCAGAGAACGTTTCATTGGTTGGTTCATAAGAGTGATGATAATGGTCTTGAGGCATAATAGGGAATGTGGAATGTTTTCAACTTCTGGTCTTACCGCGAATTGCTGATTCTCCTACTGATATAGAACGTGTGTTTGATAAGTCATTTTTAAAACGAATGGATTTCTATGACACGATTACTTGTGAAATTACCCACATCCATACCTGCAATAAGAACAGCTGTGTTTAAAAGTCACCAAAGGAAAAGGTCGGCACCTTTTATTTCCCCATGCAGAGTTGCAACATCTCAGTTCAACCTTAATCCAGGGCTGCTGTAGTTCTATAGTTTGCGATGTGCTTGCACTGTTCTTCATGAGAGGTGGTGAGGTGACTCAGGAGCTGATCCGGCTGACAGCTAAGTGGGCAAGGTAGGTCAGTGATACATCTCTGGTCAATCTGCTTGTGTCTGCGCACTTCTCTTGTGCCAGCTCAGATGGTCTGAACTACTAGCATAAAACTAAGTTGGGGAGGTTAGTAATGCTTGACACAATGTTAATAAAGTATCAAGGAAGAGCCTTTTAAAGTCTTCACCTTTTCAGCATCTGGGATCTTTAAAAATATACAAAATAATACAAATTACCCAACAAGCAATGTTGTTACAAAACAGGTGGCAGTTACTGATGCCAGAAAATATTTGAAGTTGCCATCACCTTGTTTGCAAGCACATTAATAAAACAGCATCCTCAAAAAAACAAGCTCAAGCTCTGACAAACTGTTGTGAAAAGCATTCTGAAAATGTTAGGCTGTCCTTCTGAATACTGCTGTCAGTCCTGAAGACCTCTTTTCAAGAAGTTGGCAGGACATTTTTGTCAGATGATTTTACAGATATAAGTACAGGGCAGCATTGATAACACCTTTGGGGCTTACCAGTACCAAGTTCCCATGTTTTGCTGTGCGTTAGAAATCTGCATGTACTCAGTTCTCTATCTAAGGTGATGCTTGGTAACATGTTAAGCCACAATAACTTGATTGTGGGTTCAAACATGAGTCATTTACTAGGTTCAAGTCACTTACTAGCTGTAAGTGACTGTCAACTGAGGAAACCTGTTATGCTTTAGAACACTTGTGAAGGTCCTTGGAACGGAAAGGTACCAGAATAATTGTAGCTCTAATGTTGGCCACAAGAGAGCAAGCCGAAACTGCTGGCTGTTCGGTGAATCCAGAGATAGTCAAAGAAAGAATGGAGCCTAGGATATAAGACAGGTAGATTGTGTCTCTAGAAGGGGGAGAGAGTGGTCAGAGGGTATTTGGACTTATGTTTTTTTTGTCTTTTTTGGAACATTTTCAGTTTTGATCATAGGTTACTTTGTATTCAGACACTGTAACGTCGGAATCCATGTGAGTAAATTCTGAGGTGTAACACTGATCTCTAACTTCTCAATTGAACCTATATTTTAATAATTTATGAACTCATACCAGTCTAAGAAAATTCAAACTGTTGAATTTAGTTGGGTTCGCTTTATGGTAGTTCTTCTGCTAGTTTGACTGAGACATTAGGATTTGAAGGGAGTTAGGTTAGTTTACACAATCAAGGATCTGGATCTGTGTATGGCAATCTATTTACATAAAGTCATGACTTGTTTCCTTAGGTTAAGTATCTAGATTATCAATTGCACAAGGAATCTTGCAAACCTTCTAATCATTCTACTTTAAAAGTCGTATTACTGCAAACAAAACAAGAAGTCTGAGCACTCTCATGATCTTGAATTACAGTAGGTTTTTTTCAGCATTTACTTCTGATACACTATTAAAGCAATCTGAGAACGCATTTGCACAAAATTTCTGCATAGGTCAGATGCATAAAATTCTTCATTTTCCAAGTAAAAGCAGAATTTCTTCACTTTCTCATGGAAGATTTTAAGGCTGTTGTAAAAATAGCTAAGAACTTGTGCAGCATCAGTCTATCATTAGTTGTTACAATCTGATTGCATTCTGTAAAGCTTCTAAAACTGCTGGACCAAGCAGCTTGTTTGTAAAACTCTCCCAGCATAGTCTTTTGTCTGATGATTTCAAAAAGAGTGTTTGAAAATGGACTTTTCCAAGTCCACTCTGTGTTCTTAAGTGTAAAACTGAAGTAACTCTAATGAATATAAGGGCCTTTCTCCAGGTCTTATGGTGCTGTAGTTGAGAACACAGTTTGACCTTTAATTCTCATAATGTTTTCTTCCCTAGTGCAGAATACCTTGTTGTGCCCTTTGCTTAGAGTTTAAAAGAGTTGAGACATTCATGTGAGTGGTAGTTTGACTTAGAAAGGTAGAGATAAACGATTTCTCTCTTGTTTATGAACTCTCTTTTGTTATAGAGAGTTCATACACAGCACGGTAGTCCCTCACATGCTTTAAATAACCAACGCACGTTTACTGTACTAACAGTCTACTTTGAATATGGGATCAGACTTCCAGATATATATTTTGAGCAGTAATTGTTCAGGTGTCTTAAAAAACCAAGTGCTCTGTCTTACAACAACAATCAGTTTTTTGCAATATGAAGGTGGAAGCCCTTCTGTTGATTGTGCTAAGGACCAGGAGTGTGAGTGGCTTAGAACTGCTCGGGGAACACCAGATGGACCTATGCCTCATTTGCATCACCTTGGACTGGGGTGTCCTGATGCAAAATCAGATCAGCGCTAATATTTCTGCCTAATAAGAAAAGGAAAAGAGAACTGCACCAAATACATTCTGAGTGAAGAGACAGCCTGCCCAGTAAGTCTGCTTTTTGCAAGCTGAGCTAGGAAGCCTGGGGAAGGCTAGAGGGATAATTATGTGCTTGCTTCTATTTCCTGATGGGAGTGCCTCCCTGACAGTAAGTACTGTGTTTAATACTGTGTACAACTGATATTTTCTTTAAGATAAACCACAGAGATTAGATTGCTTTGAAGGAGTAGGCAGGCCTGAGTAGGGTGGGCTGAAGGTACGAAAGTAGCAGCCTGCTTGTGTCACTCTAATATGGGTCTCCTAGAGCCAGGGACGTGGTCATTTTGGCTGAGATAGGTTACGGTCCCATAAAGCATGTTCCCACAGACAAAAAATGGACCTGCCTAAGTGTGAGCTTGGGCAGGCCAGAACATGTCTGAGTCTGCTTTAGGCTGGAGAATGGGCCTAACACCTTTGCAAGGCTCTCTGAGGCAAGAGTGAAGGTAAGGTTGTTCGAAGATGTCCAGTTGGATTAGGATTTACCTAGGTTGATTTATTAAATGTGTTGCTCTCAGGTGCTTTTTGTCACTTTGTACTCATTGTTACAGATGTTTGGACTTAGTTCTTGCTAGTTAGCAAATGTAGCCACTTGGACACCAAGGAAGGAAACTGTAGTTTTTATAGGTTTGGAGAAGGGAGTTATTTGAAAGGACACTCTTAACGTTTTCAAATTTTAATGTGCCAGAGACCATGTTATCAGACAGTTTGTTGGGCTTCACTTATTTTTATACTTCATTATTTGTGTCTTAGACTATGCTGAGGGCTTCCCATTTACCCATTGTCCTTATTCCTCTTGAGCTTTTTTTTTTTTCCTCCCTACTTGAAGTTTTGGTACCAATCAGGCTGCACACATGGCAAAAGAGTCTGGGATCCAAATAACTGAAATCGTATTAGAACTTTCAGTCTTGACGGTTATACTTGTTTACCATCCTTTTAAGATGAGTATGATACTTAGTGCTCTGAGTGTTTTAAGGGTCCCTAGAGCTCAGGATGCCTGACTGGGATAGATAAATACAGAGAGGAAATCTAAACTGTGTGAGATAGCAGAGTGAGGAACAAAACTTTGAGGTCCTGACTTTTCTTCACATGTTCTGCCTATGAGCATTACTATTTCCATGTTTTATGTTACTATATCCATATTTAAAATGAGGCTATTTTTGCTTTATGCAGTCACAGTCAGAAAATACTCAATACAAAAAAATTCACTGAACTGAATGGTGAATTTGTATCTCTTTTAATTTTATTGTTTTCATATTGACTGTTATAAGCCATCATGCTTGCTTGACAGCCTAGTCACTTCATCTCAGTAGCTGGAAAGAAAATATTCTGTTCAAGTACTCATGGGGCAGCAGACTAAGGATTCCACAGCTAGGTGAGCTCTGACAGGAAAGCTCACAGAATAGATCTCATGAAACATTTATTTTGGAATATCACAGGACAAAAGCATCTTCCATTTGTCATGTTGACATATAACCTGAAGAAAGGCAGAAGTCACTAGTTGGAGGTTGCTGTGTACTATGCATTACTATGAATGTCATCTTATTTTAAGTCTAAACATCACTGAGATTTAACTGTTTTCCCCAGCTATCCTCCTGTGAAACACTATTACTGATCCTGTACTCTTTCCCATGTTTACCACAATTTTTGGAATAATTACAGTTGTTACAATTAAGGAAGAAGGATATATAGTAGTACAAAAGGGCTGTAACTACTGTGAGATGTAAGAACCTCATCTTTCAGATTGTATAATAGCCCTCAGGTTTCCTTCTCTTCCAAGGCAGAACCACTAGAAGCTAAAAAACCAGCAGTGTAAATGTTGGTAGGCTTTGAATGTTAATAGTTAGCATTATCCAGTATAACTGATACAGTTACTTGAAATCCAGTAATCTTGACTGAGTTCCTAGTATTCA